GTGTCCCATACTCATCAGGAACTGAGATGGAAATGTGTCCCCAGATTTACTAAGGGAATGCGTGGTGGGTCCTGGCATGGTGGAGGGGGCATATCTTCCTGCTAGCGAGTCCCAGCTTCCACCTACCCCCTTTATACATACACACACACACACACACACACACACACACACACACACTCCCTCACACCCTTTGGGCATTTGGGCAGGGGATAGCTGGGAGCTTTCCACTTAGACTCTGTGTCTAAAACAACTATTTCAACCTTTCTGGTGGTTTTCAGGGACTAGAATATTGTTAATTGATTTTCAGCCACTAACTTTCAGCAAAAAGACGTCTGGTGAATTAACCTAGAACACACTAGGCCTGCTTAACTCTGTCTTCCCTTAATACACAACATGCTTCCTGACCTGGCATCTGCTACCTCTATCCCCACAACTACACCAGTACTCCCAGCACACACAACTAAACATATGCCTGCTGCCTGAAGGGGACAAGCCAAGTTAAACTTCCAGTGGAACAACCACTAGAGAACCATTCAGTGCCCTTTGGTCTCTTCCGAATAGTAACAACTTTGTCATCTCAACTCTCAAATACTAGTTTTATAAGAGCAAGATAGTATACTGGTGAAGGTGGAATTCCATCTGGAGTCAGAAGGTCAAAGTTCCAAGGGAAAAGAAAGAGGAGTGTGTGGACGCAGTGTGACCCAGAGGAAGGGTTTTGGCATCAGATGGACTCCTGTGTGACTGGGCAAGCTACTGAATGTTTCTAAACCTGAGTGTGTGTTTTTCACTTTCCAAAATGGGCATAACACCTTGTTGAGCTGCCGTGATAAACTATACATGCATGTATATGTGTGTATATACATACACATATACATGCATTATACATATCCATGCATGTATGTATATCATACTAGCACACATAATTTGCTCAATAAATGATGGTAAGTTACGATTACCCCCTGGAGAATTCAGCAAAGCCCCTACAAGGGACTATTACTGCAGGGATAAAAGGTTTGCCTTCCTCAGGGATTAAAGCATTGGTACTCCATGGAATTAACTGATAGACCTTTAGAACAAGAGTGGGGGAGTGGACATTTAACAGACTCGACCTTGTAGACTTTTAATCTGCCAGCGTGTCCTGTTTGTTCTGCCATCACAACACAGCTTAAAGATGACCACTTCTCACCCACAGCCACCCCACTAACCCCAGCCATTGTCACCCCTCTGTGGACAGCTGTAAGGGCCTCCCCCATCCCCTCTCAGTGCTATTTCTTCTGTTTGCAGTTTGTGGTCTCCTAATCTGATCTAAAGTCTATCTGATCTTTAAAGTCAGATTACAACCCTCCCTCCAGTGCCTCCATATCACTCTTAGAATCCCAACATTTTCTGTGGCCTCCAAGTCCTAACTTGCTCTGACCCCTGGCTACCTCCTAGATGTTATCTATAAAACACTCACCTGTACTCGTCCGTGGGCCATACTGGATGGTCTTACTCCTGGACACCTCAAGTACGCCTCAACCACAGGGTCTTTGCACCTGCTATATGTTTCATGGGTCACACCTTCGCTTTAGATCCCTGCTCAAATGTTACCCCCTCGGATAGGCCTTCTCTGATCACTCAGTCTAAAATAGCATTGCACCTTACTTTCTATCTCCTCCCCTGCTTTTTGATTCATTATAGTAAGTTCACAACTTACTATGCATGTGTATTATCTGCTTATTCATATACATGGTTTGGGATCTGTTCTCCAATACAACGAAGTTCTTTTGATGAGGGCTTCTGACTCACTTAATGCTATGTCCCCAGGGCTTTAGAACAGTGCCTGATACCCAGCAAGGACTCAAGATATTAATCGACTAAAATGAATTTCTAGTCACTGATCAAAACAAGTAACCTGTTTTTCAGCCTCTGTTCCCATACCAGTTCCTTCTTCTACAACTACTACATCACTAGCCCACCCTGGAAAAGTCCTAATGAATCACAGAGGGAGACCTCCTGTCTAAGAAGGGAAAATCATTTTCCCCCTTTTTTGCCATCTCTGGCAGAATCCAACTCATCAAAAGTTCTTGACATTACCGAATGAGAAACTACTCAAGTGTGCAAGCTGGATGCATTAGGAGGTGTCCTGCCCTGTTAAAAGCCTAGTCCCAAGTGATACCCAACAGAGCACATGTTCTTTCGGATCAACCAAAACAAAACAACAAATACCATTGTTGAAACCCCTGGGTAAGAAAACATCCTCGTAAAGATGATAGTCTCATAGATCACAAAGGTTAATGAATAATGCCTATTCTATGTGGCTACAAAAAGCAGACCAGACATGTTGGCGCACTCAAAAAACCCATGTAAAAGGTATCACTATTTGGGAAACTGGAAGAAAAAAATCCTGAAATGCTGCTGTTGTACTCCTTAATGATTTTCATCTCATGATCTCTACCCTAAGCCCCAGACAACTGCCTGTGCTTAGCCCATTCACCATGGGTATCAAGGTGACAAATAACACCTCTTTATACGAATTTCAGTTACAACATCCATCAAGCCCCGCACTGAAATGTTAAGCATGTTGATTTTTTTTTTCTCCATTTAAAAAGAGAGAACTTGCCTTTTGTCAAACTCTGATATCCAGTAGATAGCAGGATTCAATAAACCTGCCCTAGTAAATGTTTTTATAAGGAGGTGAGACCTCATTTACAGTAGTGCTGTTTAGAATGGGGGTAATGGGCACAGCCATTTTTCTTTTTTTAAATTTTATTTTTTAGACAGGCTTGCTCTGTCGCCCAGGCTGGAGTGCAGTGGCACGATCTCTTTCCATTGCAACCTCTGCCTCTCCGGTTCAAGCAATTCTCTGCCTCAGCCTCCTGAGTAGCTGGGATTACAGGCACACCCCACCACACCCGGCTAATTTTTGTATTTTTAGTAGAGATGGGGTTTCACTGTGTTGGCCAGGCTGGTCTTGAACTCCTGACCCTCATTATCCATCCGGCTCAGCCTCCCAAAGCAGGTTTTTTTCAGCGTGTAGGAGATGCCCTAGAAGGCTTTCATTAAAACCACAAGTTACAACCTTTGTTGACTGAGCAGTTATGATTTTTCATTTTCGTTCTATGAGGAGAGTGAACTTGCTGGGAGATAATCTGACATTTGATTGATATGGGTGTCTCCTTTTTCATGCTTCATTCAAAATTCAGAGTTCAAATGGAACCTTATGACGCATACAACATATTAAAATGGCCATCAAAGGAACAGGGATATCTCTCTCAATCTGAAATGTGATCAATCGCAATTCATGAAGAATTTACTGAGCAGCCATCTAGATTAGGTAGATGGAAACACCACACTCGGGCAAACTTTCATTTTCTCTTGCCTTTTTTAGAGATACTGTGTGTGGATCACTTGCTTACAAGGCAGGATTTGTTAAGTCACGGGGCAAAATCAATATCTTTTTTCATGTTTGATCTAAGATGTCCAAATATAACCTAACATACTGGAACCTGGGACATGCACAGGGGTTAACAGAAGGCAGAAGCTCTAGTGCACTGAGGCATCTACACATGATGCCTATGTACATTTTAAATTAACATTATTCCCCACCCCTACCTCCCATTCCAAGCAGTCTCTCTTTTCGTTGCATGCTCCATTTCACTAAGGCTCTGAAAATGTTAAACAACTGTTGTATTGTGGGAACATTCCCCTGCCACTCCTAGCAATTCAATTAACGATTGCATCTAGCGTTGGGCATTAGTCAAGTGTTAAGGATGTCGCCACTTCTTACAGTGAGAAGCAGAGACATGAATTCTAGGGGTTAAGAGGGAAATTGCAGGACCCATCATCAAAGGGTTTTTATAGAAAGAGTATACCATTGCTTTAAAATGTCAGCATGCATCATGCATACCTCTTGAACTCACCGGGTAAGACTTTAAACCCGTTATAAAGGCTGAGGCTGACCATATCAATAAAACTGACGCTGCCTTTTAGAACAGAGATGGTTGGGTGTATGTTCCTAGCTCTCTCTGCTTCCTTTCATTCATTTATTCTCACCAAAGGCGGTAAATAGGGAGTGAAACATAAGCCTTTCTTTACTGCACCATTGATAAAAGGTAACAGATGAGTGTTTATTTGTAAGATTCAGTTTAATGTATGTGTCTGAAGGTCATGGGATGCTCAGTTATGTAGTGATAAGTTGTAACGTCCTCCCTCGCAGGCTGAAAGCACTGCATTGGCAAGACTTCCTAGTGATTGTTTTGGTCATAGGTGAGGTTTAAAAAACAAAAACGGAAAAATAAATCTAGTGTTAAGGCACTCACCTATCTTGGCATTGAATTCCATACTAATGAAAGTACAAATTTAACTGTTCTGAACCACATCAAAGAAAAACAGGTGTTATTTTGACGGATATATCATGCAGCTATGCAATTTCCATTTGCCAATGTCCTGGTTTCAAAACCAAAAGACTTGGTGTAAGTTCTGCTACTTGAGAGATGTTTTACAAGAAAAGAAATAGAGGATCTTTGGCTAATAGAATGAAGATCCCCTTCTTATAAGACAGATAATATTCTCGAATGCCTCTAGCTTTATAGATTCAGTCTTTTATAGCCTCTAATATTCCATAAAGATCCCAAATAATTCACACATCAATCTCTATTAACCCAGACATAATACGTCAAAAAACATGGAAGCCATACGTCTGTGTACCTAATCTCCCTGTTACGTATTTCACCATAAAAGCACTGATTATACTGTTAGAATTTTCTTGTGGATTCATTCAACATCGTCTTACTTTTCTGGACCATGTATTATTAAAACCAGAAATAAAACATCAAAGTTAGCAAAATGCCTAATGTCTTACATGGCAGAGCCTCAAGGCTTCAGCTGTACTCCAAAGATATAAGAACTTTTTTTTAAACTTTCTAGACTGACCAACTGCAGCATGTGAAGAAGGAAAAAAAAAAAAAAAGGATACTGAGACTTGGATGGATGCATCAAGAAGTAGCAATGTTTGTTACCTGCAGAGGTGTTACAAGAAATTTCATCTGCTGCAACGAAGACGAACTGATTTCTGGAAGAGAAGATAAAATTCACAATACTGCTCGCTCAGGGGGAAATGTGCTCTCTGCCAATTGGTTTGATGTGTACAGATGAGGGGAGGGGAGGGTGCTGCTTGTGAATGGATGTTGCGAGGAAATGTGCTGATGTACCTCAGAGTTTAGAAAGATCATGAAATAAGCATGCGGGGACCTCTTAAAGTCATGGTAATGTCAGAATATGGACCATGTACAAGCTGTTGCACCAAATATTAATACTATGTGTTACCAAAACATGCCAGGGAATGTTTCTAAGGCTAAAGCATTTCAAATTGTGCTTATATGAATTTCTATGCTAAGGAGATTACTTTTTAAAATGAGACTACTGATTAGGAAATACAGTTATACTACAGCTAGCTAGAAAAATTATAAAATTCCAGACTTAAAAAAAATCTAAGAAAAAGTGCTGTCATTTCAGAAGACAATTTTATATGGTGATGTGTTATGGGTAATAATTTCCTCATCAAACCAGGCTTGCTACATAAAGCTAAGATAACTCATCAATTGAAATAAACCCTATCTGTCCAAATTATTTTTAATGATGCAGTATTAAAAAGAATGAAAATAGAAAATGCTATTTTACTTTTAGTAAATCCAGAAAGATGATAAAACTATCTTAAGATGTTTCCAACTGTGACATTTCCACAATGTAATGTGTTCTAATTCAGGGGTACCACTTATTCCTCTAGAAATAAGATCGTCTGTGTCAGGCAAATTATAAAAATGGCACAATGAGGTTGGCTAGGTTCTTAAATGCCTCAACAGCAGCAATACAGGAGCTCTGGGTTTTCACTGGTTAGATCTTTACCATGCCTATGGATCATCAAGAACCAAGATAAATGCATTTTTTTTTTCTTAGAGTGATTGGTTTTGTTCAAATGTTTCAGTGCTTCAAAAGGTATCTAGTGATGGAACATTTCTTAAAACATCTTAAGAAAGTTTTACTGTTGCAAAAAGGTACACCGTGGAATATAGAGCTGCCATTTGAATATTCCCTAAAATTTCACATTCAGTTAAATTCTAATCATTTCTACACCAATAAAATATAAACAAATTATACATGCTTTGAAAATAGCATTTTTAGTACTTCTACATAACAAGTCACAACTAAGTTTATCGCTTAAGACAAAAGTTAACATAAGATTTTGGACTATCTTTTTGTTTAGGCTTTTTGAACCCTGTGAATATCTGGCCCTGGATTCCCTATGTTTTGAGGAGCAATAAAATTTAATAACCCTGAAAACAAAGGAGATATTTTGGTTAAATATTTGACTTACTCACCTTTGGCTTATACAAGGGGTAACAACACGGGAATTCCTAACTACAGGTATGGTATTCTGGGGTGCACAAAACAAGCACTTAGAATAATCTCTATTTACAGAATGCTCACAAGAAGAATGCTACCATAAGCAAGAATGGCGACCTGGTTTATCCAAAGGGGACAAGGTCTTCGCACTAGGCATTCACATATCTGTGGCAGGAGGGTGGGGCAGCTCTACCCAATTTCTATTCCCTAATCCTAGATGAGATTGCTAGCTTGTGTTCCCTTTCTGCAACTTCCCCTAAGGAACTGTCCAGTGTGCTAGACATGAGGAAAGCCACTTGGAGACAAAATATAGGTAAAATTGTGACTGAACAAACGGAACTTTTAAAGTGCAACCTTGCCAGTATGATTAGAAACAGCCCTGTAAGAAACTAGGCTTGGTTTTTTAAATTGTTTCAAAATTTACTGTAAGATTGTGTCCTTGAAAATATTCTTTTTGACACTATGCACTTAAGCTACCCTTTTTCCTTCCTCCTTTCTTCCTCTCCTACCCTTTCCTTCCATTTCTCCTTTCTCCTTCCTTTTCTCCTTTTCTATTTTTTCTTTCCCTTCATTCTTTCCCTCCTCTCATTTTCCCTTTGTTCTTTCTCTCCCTCAATTTTTTGAAAACCTATGTGTATTGATTTTTATTTATTGTTTTACCCATGGTCTTTTTGATCACTAAGTTTCAGAACTAAAGGGACTACTCCCTTTTGACAACTTGCCCTCTTCAAAAGAGTTGGCTTAGATTACTGTTGACTATGAATTTGCATATATTTCAAGGCACAGAGTTCTCAATAATAGTGACATTTAAAAGAACATGCCATGGACTCTGCAGCAATGCCAAAAGGAGTTAATGGCTACCAGTTAAGTATTTTTTGGATGTATCCATTCTGTACTATTTTATTTAATCCACATAATCCCATTACATCCCAGAAAGGTCACCATAAGGTGTCAGAAAAGTGCCTTTCTATAGAGTTCATTAATTCCATGAATTCAATCTGTATGATCACTACTTCCCCTGAACTATGCTTTCATCAATTGACAAGTGAAATTAACAGGAAATGTCAGTAAAATCAGAGATTGGCTTTGGGGTGACTTACATTGTCAGGACAACAGAAAAATTCTGGTAGAGTTCTAAGGGGAGATTGCATGTTGGTGTTTATATCCACCATGATACGCCGTTTTATATACAGCTGTTTCACCTTGAACATTAAGAAATTATTGACTTAGAGGGCCCATAAATGGATCATCTATGATGCCCAGGAGATAGAAACCATCTGAACTATTTTACCCGCAATCATCCTAAGTCCTGATCACCCTTCCATCCCTACGCATCCTGTATCTAACAGACGAAATCAACCCCTCCTTTACTGTTAAGTCAATCGGACACCAATGATACTGAACCTACGAGTACAAAGATTACGGAGGCTTAATCTTTAACTCTTATATATTACCCCCACTATTCTTAAACCCAGGAGACCTTCGACTTCTAGAAGTTGACAATCGAGTAGTCACATATGATCACAGAGACAAATGTCTCTGCTATATCCAAACAACTTAAGGAAAAATTAAAAGATCAGAACAATGCAGGTATATTCTGAACAGTGGGCTACCTCTCAGGGAAGAAAGAAGGCTGGTACCAGGGTCTGTCTCCTTATGCAAACCCGAGTGTTGTGCTGTTTTCTCTCAACACAGATCCATGGATTTAAACTTCAAAATGCACCGGATTTTCCACAGACTGGTCTGTTACTTAGTTGTTGTTTTAAAAAAAAAAAGCAAGTGTGACTGAGTCATTCTCAACCTTGGCTGCACATTGTAAATAACTGGTGCACTTCTAAACATTTCTGGTTACCAAGCTACTCTTAAGACCAGTTAAATGGTAACCCCCGAAACTGGGTCTCGGGCATCAACAGTTTTTAAATACTTCCAAGTGATTCTAATGTGCTAATGTTCTTCATTTGAAAACTACTTGTGGAGTTGAATGGTAAGAGTGCCAGTGATAGGGCCCACTCCTGAGGGTTCTGCTTTAATTGTTCCTGGGGTAGGGTCTGAAAAGTAGTTCAAAAAAGGCTCTGTAGGTGACTCTAATAGATGGCCACAGCTGAAAAGCAGTGATATGACGCCAAGGCAGAGGGATTCAAGAGACTCAAAGAAGTGGATTCAAGGGAGTTGAATCACTGAATTTCTTCCAACTTTGGTTTCTATTTTTGCAACTTCTATTTGACCATCATGCTTGCCTCCAGGGCAACCTAGCTACTTAGCTTTTGGACAATACCACCCTTGAAACCTGATAGTGTTCAAGAAAAGGTACTACCAGTTTCTAGATGCCCTCTAAGAGAGTTGACTTTAAACCTCATCCTGAAAGAGAAACTGCTCTACAGTGGCCATGTCATACTCTTGGTATTTGAGTCCTTCCTTATCTGTTCCTCTTACTGGACCATTTCTTATGGATTTACTCAAGATCATCTTTGCTTGAGTTTTTCCACTTTTCCTTGAGTTCAGCCCCTATCATTCTGTCACCCAAAACTTTCTATATTCTACCTCTCCTACTCCAAAATTTTTCAAACTTCCCTGAATTGCCTAGAATGCTCCTTCAATGTATAGATTCCTGGGTTTCAACCCTGACCACCTGAATCAATTTTCAGGAGAGAGGTCTGGTAATCTGTACAATTAATAAGAACCCAGGTCTGCATATTGATCAGCTCCACAGGGCACCCATTCTCACTGTGCTCTAGGTAGCAGGTGCTCCTGTGAGGGAATCACGCCTCCTGCTACTTCTTACCTTGAAGTTTGGGCAACCTTGCTGAGAAACCCTGCAAGTTCATTCCCATTTTCATTTCAAAGCTCACCTGTCCCAGGAGGATTGTTTTGAATTAGGAAGGCTTTGTTGGGGGTGGAGAAGAGGAAGGATTACTAATATATGAAAAATGATGAAATGGCTAAATTGAGTTTAAGGGAGAAGACTATTTGTTCTGGCTCATGGGAATGCTGGCTGCATAGTCTACTATCCAACACTGACGGGGCACTTATGACTGCAAGTTGCTAAGTGTCATACCTATGTATTCATTAAATTTTTCTTATAATCCCTCTTTTTATTCTCCTCTTTTAGATGAGGAAACTGAGGCATGGAAAAGTTATGTAATGCAAGCAGCTGTTAAGTGGTAGAGGTGAAACCTGAACACAGTTGGCTTAGCTCAAGACCCAAGCTTTTACTATCTAAAGTTCTTGGGGACATTCATGTGGCAGGTATTTAATCAGCAGTGGGGTATGATGTCTCTGGAGTAACTTAATATTCTGAATCTTCAGTTCCTCTGAGAAATAAAATTTGAATTCCTCTTTGAGTATAATTGAGAGAATTAAAAACATATTCTGCTTTAACAACAACTTGATTATGAAATGGCATACACCAAACTCTTTCTCTTTTCACTCTTGTCACTAGGTTGATTAACCTTTTTAAGATTTTATTTTTTTATAGACCAACCCTCTACACTCTATCTGCCTCAGCTGGTGGTATATTTAAATTAGTCCTGTGGATTGCCACGTATCACCCTCATAGCCCACTTTTGTTCCTTAGGCTAAATCTCATCTCTTGGCAGTGTTCCTTCTGAAAAATTACCCATGGCTAATTCTTAGTCAAATTAAAATAGTAGCCAGCCCATGTTGCTGGAG